GGCCCCCAGGGTGACTGTTCATGGGGTTTAAGGTTTGAGGGATTTGAATGTCTCTGCCCTGATGCTGAGAAGTGAGTAAGGCCCTTGTCTCCTGTGTCTCCTGAACAGTTTTATCCAAGCTATGCTTGTGATACTGTCTGTCTTCTTGTACTTGTTTGCCTACAAAGAGTACCTCGCCTGCCTCGTGCTGGCCATGGCCCTGGGCTGGGCGAACATGCTCTACTACACACGCGGCTTCCAGTCCATGGGCATGTACAGCGTCATGATCCAGAAGGTACGCCGGGAGCTGCACAGCTGGGAGGGCCCTCAGAGGGTGCGTCTTTTTTATGTGGGGAAACTGAAGTCTGTAGAGGAAAAGGGCTTAACACATGGCAGTTGATCCATGGCTCCTTCTCCCGAATGCCATAGTCTTCCTTGGCTTTTGGCCAGACTTTAAGTGTCCACATCTTACAATGCCCAGGCTTGTTGGACGTTGAGAAGGGACACACTTTGTGAAGGAAGGAGGTTCTTATCCCTGGGCAGTGGTGTGCTGGAAAATATAAAACAATTGCTCTGTGTGTATTTGTGTGTGTGTGCGTGTAAACCAGCATATGTGTATAAATACATGTACGTTTATGGCATGCAATATGCATTAGTATAAGTTCCACATAGCTAATTGAGTCTCACAGAATACTTAGTTTTTAATTAAATTCTTTCATCTGTTGCCAAACTGCAATTGACAAATGGGTGTTGTTCCAGTTTATGTTTTATTTTATAAGCAGTTAAGATGACAATGAAACAATGAAGACTTAAGTTGAAACTTCACTAGTTTGTCCAAGGCTGGGCAACTTCTTTCCTGAATAGGATAATTGTTTGCAGATACTGGAAGGCCATCTTGTTGCTATTTGTGGGCTATTTATAATGTAACAGCTTTGGACATTTTGAAGTTGAAGCTGCCTTCACATTTTCTCTATCACTGATTTAAATACACACATAGACATCAATAAAACAGTGAGTCAATCTGATTTGTAGTGTTTACCGCTCTTCCTGCTGTCAAGCTCCACCATGGCTGATTTCCTATTACTGACATCATGTTGCCAATGACAGAATTGGGAAGAGATGTGCAGTTACACATCCTTATGTAGTGTTTCCACCATGGGGCTACAACAGAGGTAAAAAAACCTCAAAAACATAGATATTTGTAAAATGTAGTAAAATAATCGGGGAATGATTAGTTTTGAACATTTATTATCTTTATTTTTAATATGTTTATGTTTTACAAAAAAGTTGATTTCTTTTTCCTTTGCTATATTGAGAAACCATTGACAAATAAAATTGAAATTTACGGTGTACTGTGTGAGGAATAGGAATATATATATATACACACACACACACACACACACACACACACACACACACACACACATACATATACACACACATACATACACACATTTTGAAAATGTCACCAGGACAGGGGTCTTGAGAAGGTTCCCCAACACGGAGGTGAACGTCATGAAGGTCCTTGATGTCATTGCAGAAAGGAATTTAAGGATGGGTCAAAGTGACACACAGATGGAATTTACTGAGATAAAGAAGGAAGTAGACATTCTGAGAGACAGGGTGAGGGTGACTAGTTTTAGGGGTATTTATACATGTCAAATCTGTAGTTCAGAGACTTGGTCTAAGAGGGTGTTTTCAGTTCCTTGGGTCTCTGACTTGATAGTACCTGCCAGGGGTCATTTTCCTTTCTTTGTTTTTGAGGAAAAATCGCTAATAATTTCCCCATGGAGGTTTTATCGATCTGCTTTGTGGACTGAAACAGTACTACACTGGGGTAATTCTGAGGGCTCCATTAAGAGCACGAAATGTAGATGCAGTAATCAGATTCCAAAATATAGACATCAGATTCCAAAAATATAAATCACAGGAATATCTACTTGTAGAAGAAAGACATCCTCAGACTTCTTTTTCCTTTAGATCCAGGTCAGGAAAGAAGTTATTGACAGATTCAAGGAATAAAGTCTAATGGTTTACTTAATTATTTTGTGACCGAAGTTTGTGAAAGTGATCTTTAAATCTGGACTTTTAATCCATGGTAAAGTGGACTTTAACTCATGGTGACTCTTGGTTTGTCCAACATGTCTCCTTTCTACTTATCCTTATGTTTTCTACCTCAAAATGATCATCCATTTCAAGTTACTTAATGCATCCATTACCTTGCGTAGTTTCTGTGTGTGTGTGTGTGTGTGTGTGTGTGGTGTGTTGAAAACATTTAAAATCCACTCTTGGAACATTTCAAATATACAAATTGATACTGTTAACTACAGTCTGAGGCTGTACGTTAGATCCTCAGAACTTAATCGTCTTATAATGAAAAGTTTGATTTAGTTCTTAAAAATGACTGTGTTTCACAAACATCTCACAAAATTTACAAAAATTTAACTGTCTAACAGCCAGCTCACAAAATTCATAAGCATTCAACATTCAGCTCTTGGGAGCTGGTATGAGCTGGCTCCAGCATGCCACTGCCTCCAGGAGGGTCGAGGACTCCAGGTAGGAGACCCTATCGGGAGTGGGAGAGGGTAAACCAGGGCCTGAGTTCAGGAGGTGGGGGAGAAGAGAACCTGGGGCTGACTCCAGGACCAGAAGGCTTCCTGGAGAAGGCAGAGGCAGAGCTGAACCTAGAGCATCAGGAGAGTTCTGCTGGGGGAAGGGAGAATGGCCTGAGTGAAGGCAGGGCTGGGAGAGGAAAGGAAGAAGCAAGGAGATCAGCAGATGATGAATAGGTGCTCATGAATCCTGTTTCTTTGTAGGTCATTTTGCATGATGTCCTGAAGTTCTTGTTTGTATATATCGTGTTCTTACTTGGATTTGGAGTAGGTAATTGCTTCATAAATAATCGTAGCATTTGTAAAGCACTTTATGTAGATGTCAGAATGACACAGCACACACAGCCCTGGCAACAATCACACCAGCTCCTGATGAGTGGGGCACCTGTTGCTCTCAGTGCTTTCTAAGCAGCATCTTTTACTTCTCTCAACAACATGATCGAGTGGGAATCATATCCCCATCCTCTAAGCCTCAAGTAACCAAGGCTGGGAGACCCAGCCTGTCACTCTTACCCATCCACACGGAGGCAACTGCTGCCCACTTTCGCATCCTTCGTCTCCGTTGGCCCTCACAATCCAGGATAGGCTGGGCAAGCATCTTAAGCTCGGTAGTACAGATGGGGAAACTGGAGTTCACAGAGATTGGATGGATGATCTTCAAAAAATAGGAGCACAGCAAAAGTGAGGCACTCAGCAACTCAGTGAGATCCTGTCTCTAAATAAAATACAAAATAGGGCTGGGGATGTGGCTCAGTGGTTGAGTGCTCCTGTGAGCCAGGGCTGAACAGGGGGTGGAGGAGGGAAAGAAGAGCTTGGCTCTGTTAGGCACGAAGGCTCCTGCAGGAGCTCAGGGTGGAGAAACCAGCCTGATAAGGCATTTGGGGTCCAGAGGGAAGAGGCAGAGGTCTGCAGTGTGTGTGTGTGTGCGCGCGCGCGTGCAAATGTCGGGTAATTACCCAGAGAGGCAGAAGCAAGCACCCCCTTATGTTCCTCCTAGCCCTGGCCTCACTGATCGAGAAGTGTTCCGAGGACAACAAGGACTGCAGCTCCTACGGGAGCTTCAGTGACGCGGTGCTGGAGCTCTTCAAGCTCACCATAGGCCTGGGCGACCTGAACATCCAGCAGAACTCCACGTACCCCATCCTCTTCCTGTTCCTGCTTATCACCTACGTCATCCTCACCTTCGTCCTCCTCCTCAACATGCTCATCGCCCTGATGGGAGAGACAGTGGAGAATGTCTCCAAGGAGAGTGAGAGGATCTGGCGCCTACAGGTGAGCTGAGCTGGGCAGTGACTCGGTGGAAAAAGCTCCCCAGGGACTTGGCTCAGCACCTGGTCATCAATCACCATCAGCACCGCTGGGTCTGGGGCAGGGCCTGGGAATCTGCATAAACCAGGTCTGAGGAAGCCTTAGTCCAGGTTCTTTGAGTACAGGGTGTAGGGAATGTGGCACGTAGGAGAGAAACCCAGCCTTATGGGGATTCTCTGCTCAGAGTCAACAGTGTGCTCGGTGGACGCTGAAGTGTGACTTAGATTGCATTAAGAGAAGTATAAGCTACAGGACAATGGAGATGACAGTTCTACTGTGCTTTATCCTGGCCTTAACACTCCTCCCTTGTTGAGGACTCCAACCCACAGGATGGGTCCCGAGATGATGACCAGGTTTGGGAGAGGACTGGAGACTGTGCCTCATAAGAAATGGTTGTTGAAACTAGGGTCGAAGAAGGAGAGAGTTCTTTCAGAAATCTGCCAAGCTACCTTGAAAGAGGGAGCAGCCCCCTTCTGTGGCCCCAGAAGGCAGAAACGAGGTACATGGGGTGGGGGTGGGAAATGATAGGGAGACAGTCTTTAATTTGCCACAAAAAGATTTCTAATCATTATGACCTTCTTAACTGGGACTGTCAAAGATGTTCAGGAGAGACTGGGCAAATTATGAGCAGGAGAAGTGCAGAGGGAATTCCAAACCTGGGAGGAGGTGTGGAACTACATGACCTCTGAACTTCCCCCAGATGAGATTCCAGGATCCTAACATTTTCAGACAGGAGGCTCCTGGACTTTCAGAGACATTATTTACATCAAATCTCTGACATTATTGAACTCAAATCTCTTTCTCAAACTTTCTGCTTTTTTGTATTTGAATTCTGTAGGTTAGCTCAGGATCTAGGTGTGTGTGTGTGTGTGTGTGTGTGTGTGTGTGTGTGTGCATGCTCCTATGGAGCTGGGTTCTGAGCAAAGAGCTGAGGCTTGTTTTTTTTTTCTCCCAGAGAGCCAGGACAATCTTGGAGTTTGAGAAAATGTTACCAGAATGGCTGAGAAGCCGATTCCGGATGGGAGAGCTGTGTAAAGTTGCAGAGGGAGACTTCCGGCTGTGCCTGCGGTAAGGGAGGGGAAGGCCCTTGGGTGGACAGAGGGATGAGTCAGTGGACAGCGGTATGGTGGAGAAGCACAGTTGACACTCACTTGCCACGACACACCTGCCTTGTGGCTTCTCAGAAGGTGGGGTTTGCTCTTATGTGGGCACAGGCCTGGGATGAGATGCCTGAGCTTCAGAAGGGAGTCGGAAGGAGACTGAGGCTGGCTGGTGGGGGGGTCCCCCTCTGCTCTTTTGAATGTGTCTCTGTGGCCTTCTCTGTCTGACTTTGAAGATATTTGCCAACCTGATAGCCTTTGTCCTTCTGTCTATACTGTGTGGGTTCATGTGACAACATAGGACTTGGGGGCACATTTGTCATTGCCAAACAGAAAGTGAGCTGCTTTCCATAGTTCTCAAGCTTTCTGACTTTTAAAAACAGACCTCTTTCATCCCACGGCCACCTTTTTGGATAAACATGTCTCTTCCTACCTGCTACCTGACTTCCTGACCCTATCACCATCTTTTTTTGAGTGGAACTGTACTTACTTGTCTTGACTGCACTTCCAAACCCCTGGAAACCATCATGTCTGGCTGTAATCTACACCTCAAAAAAAGTGTCTGATTTGGACACTCTTGTTACTGGTGAAGGGTCCAACTGGGGTCCAGGTCCTTGGTGTTTTGAATAGAGAACTGAGCAAGACACACAAGAGAAACAGCCTTAGCGAAGATTTATCAAAAGTTAAAGTACATCATTAAATTGGAGCCGTCCGATTTGGAAAAAAATGGCTCCAAAAGGCCAATGTCATAGAGTCTTATCTTAAATGTCTTTCCTGCGGACCTGATTGGAGACCCTGCCCCATTTGTTCCTATTGGTCATTTTATTTCCACCTAATTGGGATGCACAACTTGTGGTGGGAGTTGCTATGTGATAAGCCCTCTAGTGGTGGAGTTGCCATGGTAATGGGACTTATCCTAAACAGGAATATGATGAGTCATCTCCCTGTCCTGTACCTCAGCAAGCGTTTTTCCTGAGTTCTGCTTCTGTCACCTTGGCATCCCTACACTCCTACCTCACCTCCAGGCCAGGGAAAAATGGGACTTGGGTGGGTTTCAAACCCTCACTATGCTAGTGTGCCTGGATGGGGTCGGGGTGTGCTGGATCTCTGGGATGCACAGAAGGGGAGCTGTATGGAAACCAGGACATCCTGAATGCAGTCTATTTGTTTGTATTTGATGAAGTGTAGTTGTGAAGTAGTGAAAATGATGACCATACTTGTAGGATCAATGAGGTGAAGTGGACCGAATGGAAAACCCATGTCTCCTTCCTTAACGAAGATCCGGGACCCATCAAACGGACAGGTACTGTTGCTGTGAGGTGGTGGGGGCCCATTTCTCTTTGACCATGTGACCTTGTGCATATCAACTCTGAGGGCCTGATTGTCCCCAACTATAAAATGGGAGAGTGGATTAAATTGGTTCTTAGGGCCTCTATCACTCTAGCTGGACAACTTTTAAAAATTAGGTGGTACTCTAAGACATGGAAATGTGGTATGCAGAGTGATGTACATCTAAAATAGCCTTTCTTTTTTAAAAGCAGATATCAACAAAATGCAAGATTCTTCCAGAAACAACAGCAAAACCACTCTCAATGCGTTTGACGAAATGGATGAATTTCCAGAAACTTCAGTGTAGAAGCAAAACCTAGAGCTGGTGTGAGCATGGCGTGTTAGATGCTGCAGGCTGGGTCCTGGATTCTGTGCCGTGGGGCTGTGCAGAGTGGCTGACAAGAAGAGAAGCAGAAAGCACTTCAGGCTGAGCTGGGGACTCTCTGAGAGGCAGCTGTCAGTATCTAAGAGGGAAATAATTTGGATTTTGATGTTCAGTAGGCCCACAGTCCTCAGCCGGGGAGCTCCTAAAGTCTGGGTGAAGTCTCTGGTTTGACCAGGTCATCTTGGCTGGGATGACAGGTATTGGGGAAGGGGCAGAGGCCTGAGGGGCAGGGAGGGCAGTCTTTCCAAGGCCACAGATTCTACCATCTCCCTTAGTACTGTGACTGGGTCATGTGATTTTGTGGGAGACTTTAGATCCCATCCCAGAATGTGCAAGGGATTGAGCCAAATCGGATATCCTGAAGGAGGAAGGGAATGAGCTGTGGAACTGGCTTTCTAGAACCTTCAGGTAACAGGAAACCACCTTTGGAATGAAACCCAGGGCTCAAACCATCTCAAACCAAGAGATGTTTTTAGTAGTGTAATTAACACAGTGTTTTAATTTTAAAATAGAAAAGACATTTCATTTTTGAATGCAAATCACTTTAGGTGAAGTAGGTGAATTTAAAAGCTGAGGAGTAGATCTTGAGCTTTGGGGCTGGATATACATTATATACTTGGCCTCAGGGTGGCCAGAGCCCAACAATAAGCTTTTCTTTATTCACAGGAGGTCTGCTGGAGATGTGCTGTGATCTGGGTGAAAGGGCTTGGCTCCTTCCCCCTCGGGCCTTGCCATAGGGCATGCTTCTGAGCTGGGACAGAAATAGCAGCTGTTCTATTTATATGGTTTTCAATCTCTGAGGCAACTAGTGTACAACAGTTATTTCTCCTTGGGGAATTTAGCAAAATGACTGAAATGCTCCGGGAGTAAGTATTTTGTTCACTGTGAATTTTGAGGCTGAAGGGGAAGGCTCGTGAGAGGAGGATTTGGCCAAGACTTGGGGCCTATTTTTAGATCCTCACCCTCAGATTTTCTGTCCTCCGAAATTCCACAGAGTTTTGAGGCAGAGATGGAGACTGAAGAAATTTCCCAGATGGCTAGAGCCCAACCAACCAACAAAGCACTCTCCTCTGGTATTCAGTGAAAGGTGTCTCCAGTGGCAGAAGGAGCAGATGTGTTCCAGATGGTCAGAACTAGTCAAGAACTAGAGAAAGATTCTGGTTTCATTCAGTCCCTACCTGCTCCAGATCTCCAGATGTTAGAGATGTTTAGGCAGAAGCTGAGTGAATACTTACTGAAGGTGTTGTTAAAGAAAGTAATAGGAGGAATTTTAAGATTCCTTTCAGCCTGGAGAGTCTACAAATCAATATTCTAGAGCTGGAGTGGCCTCCTTGCATTGATCCTGAACAGAGGTGCTGGCCTTGAAGGGCAGTCATTGGATCCATGGTGCCATGTACTACATTATGGATCTGGGAATTCCAGAACTGATTTGACTTAGATTTTAATGCGTAAAACCATTTTCCACTTGGGCAAAAGCTGGGAGGTTAGTCAATAATTGGGTAAAAAATCATAATAATAATTGGGCAATTTTATACCTGGAACCTAAAGCTCTGAAAGGAACACGGAGGACATCATATCAGAGTTGTTGAGGCTGGAATGTCCTCTAATTTTATGTCACAGATATATCCCTTATCAATGTTTTCAGCACAGTTATTTAGTAAATTTAAGTCTATCTTTGTGGTTGGCACATGGCAGAGAGCTAGGGATTTTGCTCTGACGACACATTTGGCAGTCAGCATTGTCCCTATAATCCCTGTGACTAGTCTAAAATTCAAGTGTGCACACAGTTGTGCACAAAAATCACACACACATACACACCCCACCAACCCCTGAGCCCATCAGGATATCTTCAAACTCCATGATTTACATTTCAGTCGTTGAAGGGGAAGGCTTTTCCCAGTGATGGAATCCCCCAGGCTCAGGCTATTTTTGGCTGCAATGCTGTTTTCCTTAGGAATAATGCGTTATTGTAGACATTATGTCATATGTCTTGTTTGGAATAAATAGGGTGCTTACCTTCCTCCCTGGGATGTGCCAGGTTGTACTGTGAAGCCATTCAGCTCTTAAAGGCACCTGCTCAAGAGAGTGCAGTATTATTGACATTCCTTTCCTTCCTCAAGGCTGGATGAACTGTATCCTCTGCTCTGGGTGGGGCCCAGGGGGATAGGTTATTATCCAGGCCTGTAAGCCATACTTGATGTCTGTATCAATTTACTTTTTTTTCCCTGTGAACTTGGTTCCAAACACAGAATTGTCACCCCATTCTCACCAATGATGCCTGAATCTTGTAAGTTGTAATTTATAGTCATATTTTTAATGTTGTGTGCATTTGTGTGAAGCTATTTTCAAGAAAGAAGTCATAAAAGGAGTGAAAATATTTTAGTTCCATTGAAGAAATGCCTTTTTGATTTCTAATAAATATTTATTTTGCCTTGTTATGGCCACGTTTTATTCTTGGTATGTGAATGTGAAGACTGACTAGAAATCCTGGAGTATTGCTTAACCGAAATGGATATGAGGAAGGCCAGTTTTTGGACCCCAAACATTATTGGTCCCAGTTCACGGTCAGCATGCTGTAAGACATGTGACCTTCACATTCTGTCTACACTTCAATGTGCATGCCTGTCCAGGATTCTATCTGAACCACTCAGCAACTGTGGAAGCAGCTTGAGTAAAGGATTCACGGTCAGATGGTGTTCGTGGTTTAGGCCACAAGATGCCCATGCAGTGCTTTACCCGTCTGGCCCTGCTGGCTCTCAGCTTATTTTGCATGGCTACAACCCCACGGCTCTACCAGGAGACTAGACGTCCAAATCCTTCCTATTTATGGGTTTTCATAAGGATGCAATGAGAGAATGAGCACGAAAGAGCTGCTACTATTACTATCTTTATTGCCCATCAGCCCAACTCATGTGTATGAACATTTTTCATTCTTTTGAGTTATTTTATAAAGATGGTTATTCTCAACTTGGCTCTCCCCAAACAGCTTTATCTTAATGGGTTGTGGAAAGTGTGACCAAATTTTTATTAGGTGAAATGTTGCGTTTAGTGAATTATTTACTTGATTTAAATGATTCCCAGAATATCTTCCTTCACTGTGGCAAGTCTTATTGAGGGGCCAAGAAAAGGTCCTTGTGCCAGGCGTGGTGATGCATGCCTGTAATCTCAGTGGCTCAGGAGGCTGAGGTGGTAGGTTCAGGAGTTCAAAGACAGCCTCAGCAATTTAGCGAGGCCCTAAGCAACTAAGTGAGACCTATATCTAAATAAAATATAAAAAAGAGCTGGAGATGTGTCTCAGTGTTGAGGCACCCCTGGGTTCAATTCCTGGCACACACACACCAAAAAAAAAAAAAAAAAAGAAGAAGAAGAAGAAAGTAAAGTCTGTTGTACACAATCACATCTTAGCTTAAACAGGTTAGCTCAGGATCTAGGAATAGGTCATTCATGCATTCATGAGAACATTCTGGATAGGCTAATAGAAAAAGGGTGGAAACTTCTGTTGTAGGATATATTTCTGGGAATGGGATGCCTGGGTCAATGGGCATGAACATTTTTATGGCATGTGAGACTGTGCAAAATTAACTGCCAAAATGGTCACAGCAGTTTTTTCAGTCTTTGTGTTATCTTAATAAGATAGTTTTATAGGTTCAGTATTATATCCCAGTTTAATTGGTGGAGAAATTGAGATCTGGAGTAAATGGCATGAAATGCAAAGGTCATGATGCTTTTTCCTGACCTGAGGATCCAAGGTCTATAAAGTTTAGTTAGGCTGGTATCAAGAGAGACCACTTGGGCTGGGGTTGTGGCTCAGTGGTAGAGTGCTTGCCTAGAATGTGTGAGGCACTGGGTTTGATTCTCAGCACTGCATATAAATAAATAAAATAAAATCCATTGACAACTAAAGAAATATTTTTAAAAAAGAACCATTTTTTTTTTTTTACTGCACCAGGCCACTTCTCTGACAATAGCAGCAATATTCTGCAGAAAGGATGGGATCCAGTGCAATTCCAAAAAATGTATCTCACCTGCTGTGTGTGAGGACTTACAACCGATTCAACAAAAATTAGACATCCAGTATGCATAATGATAGAGGAGACAAATATGAATGAGAAAATTTCTTCCACTAAAAGTGGTGGAAGGAGAGGGAAGGACGTGAACATTGAGTGCCTACAACATGCCATGCATTTTACCTAGAGTCTTATTTAATCCTTACAATACCCCAGTGGTTACTCTAGTTCCTTCATCAGTTCTGTTATATTTTCCAGTAGTTATTTCAAAGCTGTCATTCTTCGCCCCATCATTTCTCTTTAAATACCTGTAGGTAGTTTAACCTCCTATTTAGTAGTGAAAATAGAAGCCATCAGATGGAAACATCTTCAACTTTTGACCACCAAACCTACAAATTTATCTGCATTCATACCCACAGCATTGAAATATCCTGTCAGGGGACGCACTCTACTTCCTTGAGATGTCTTATGCTATTTCATGATGGTAAAATTTATTTCTCCATTTAATAGATTTATTTTCTAAAATGGGCCTTTAAGATATTTAGGGCCTAACCCAGCCTGTGTCACATTAAATATCATAAATTTTTAAAATGATATTTAGCTATTGTGGCTTTAATATTTTTCTTTCTAAATTTTACTTTATATTAATTATATGTTAATCACAGCAATCACCTATAGACCCCAGTTTTTTTTTGAGGGGGATTTTACATTACTGACAAAGTCCCTGCTCTTTTTCTCAGCCAAAAGAAGCAATACCAATCCTGTTTTTCAGTTTGATAGGGCATAAAATCCTGTGCTATGCCATTCACTTTGCAGTTTAGGGGATTACAGCCTTGCTTCCCTGGAGTTGTGTACTGTGTGACCCAGGAAGCCTTATGTGGCATCCCTGGGTGAAATACTCCATAGAGAGCCTCCAAGTCATTGATCTGATGTGTTAAGGAACTATTATTTGCCCAATGCTGGACTTCGTGTGTCTGTGTTGGGGTGGGGGTTATAAAGGTCTCTATGGGTAAGTTATGAGTCTCTTTTGAAGGCAATATATGTGGAAATACAGAGATAGTAAAAGATTTGGGGAATCCCTAAGCAGTCAATTCCCTTCAGACTGTGTCTGCATGGGGTATGCGAATGCAGGCTTTGCAGATGTGCCCTGGTTCAGTTGCCCTGGTGCTCCCAGGGATTGTAGGCTCCTCTCTCAGTGCAATGGCCTTGGTCTTCAGAGTTTCCCCGCTGCCCCTTCCAACTTGCTTTTCCTATTGGAGCAGTAACAGTATGTAGGTCACCATTTCTGCCCCAGTGACATCTCTGTGGTCTCCAGGGTCATCTTCTGAGGTCTCTAAGTCAATCTGCTCTTCTGAGGAAGCCCTCTGGAATGGTTTCACTCATATCAGTCTCATGTATCCAACAAGACTGATTGACTTCTAGGTGGTAAGCAATGTATTCAGTTATGGATACTTCAAAGAACAAGACACTCTCCCTGCTCCCTTAGAGCTTTTGCAGTTTAAGTAAAGGGACACACATTTAACTGTCTTCTACCCCAGTTTCATAAATTAGTACTTTTGGAGTTGTGGTATGTGCTAGTCTGATATAAAAGTGTGTTTGTATAACAGAGGGGCCTAACCTAGGCTGTGTTACACTGAGGACAAGTGTCATCTGGGTCAAGGGATGAGAGGGTGGGACAGACTTTCAAGAAGAGAAAACACATGGGCAAAGACCCCCAGGTAGTAAGGAGCTTGATGCATCTGAGGTCTGGAGAATCAAGCCTGTGTGGCCCAACTGCTGGAGCAAGGAGCTAAGTGACATGAGATGATGCTGGAGGGGTGGCCATGCCCAGAGCATGTAGGGCTTGTCCCATCAAGGTGAGGCTTTGTCACTTCATTTCAAGGGTAAGGAGAAGCCACCAAAATGTCTCACACAGGGGAACTACTGAGTGAGAATATTTCCCTGTTTGATCTGATGGGATTGTAGGCTTAAAAGTGTGTTTTATTACTACTATTTTTCTCCTGCTTTCCTTTGAGATACAGTAACAGTCTGAAGAGTGTGGGATGGGGTGAGTTTCACTCAAGAGAGGAGGTGAGAAGACCCAGGAAGTGACTGAGAAAGAAGGAAAAAAGAAGGAGGGAGATTGGTGGAATGTGGAGTTGTTTAGGTAGAGAAGGGTATTTGGGCTCACTCATTTATTCAACTCACCTTTATTAGGTGAGTATAGATTGAAGACTCTGAAAAAGACTCTGTTAATGTCCTTGAGATGGCATAGATGGAAGGATGGGCAAATGGGGCAACTAAGTCAGATAGAGACGAAGGCTTCACACCTAAAATGAGAGCTGAGTTGCATTTGGAAGGAAACACAGGAATTAGCTAGAGCAAGGCCTGGGGTGGGTGTGTATGGGTGTGTGGGGGATATGCATGAAGTTGGGAGAAAATTTTAGGGGGAAGAATCAGTTTGGATGAAGGTGTTCAGGAATAAAACAACACAAGGGCCTTGGAACAGAGAGACTGGGAATGGAGTCTAGAGAGGTTGTGGGGGAGGGAGCAGCTCACAAAGGGTCTTTTGTGCTATGTTTAAACTAAGTGCTGGGCACTGAGCTAAGTGCTCACATGCATTAACTTGCTTAATCCTCAGTAACCCCACAGTAGAAGCATTACTATTGTGATCACCCCCACTTTATAATTTTTTTTTTTTTGAGAGAGAGAGAGAGAGAGAGAGAGAGAGAGAGAGAGAGAGAGAGAGAATTTTAATATTTATTTTTTAGTTTTCGGCAGACACAACATGTTTATTTGTATGTGGTGCTGAGGATCAAACCCAGGCCGCACGCATGCCAGGCAAGCACGCTACTGCTTGAGCCACATCCCCAGCCCTCACCCCCACTTTATACATGAGAAAATGGAGCTGGCAGATAGTTAGCAATAATAAAAATAAAACTGAAAATAACTAAAACTACACAGCCATGTGTTGTAGATTAAGAAAAAAAATCACATCTAATTAGAAACAATGAAGACAATAACAACTGAGTCAGGAAATATTACGCTCAAAAGAAATAATGAATCCCCCAAACTGAAACCACAGTGACTTAAATGGCACATTATAAATTACATAAATAACTAAAACTCAATGGAAGGATAAAGTTTCCTTGCCAAAATTTACATCTGGAAAAACTGACCCTGAGGATTTGGACTAAGATAAAACATAACAGAACCTTCGTTCATAGAGGGAGAAGGACACTTGGTAAAACTTACGTGCTAAAGAAGATCGACACATTTTTACTACAACCTTCAGAAGGAAGTTTATTCCAATGAAAATAATTTTGGCAAAGCTCACAATGATTTTTCTAGTGCAAAATTCAGAAATCATTTAGTTGTGCTCTATAAAACAATGAATATGGAATTAAATTGGCTTAGTGGAGTTAGCTCTGGAAGAATGAAAATATTTGTGTACCTATATAAGTTCCAGATAATGTTAGTATTTTTGGTAAAACATTTGAAGCCATAAATGTGTTTCCTTAGGGTTCAAATCGTAGGATAAAGTTGTTCCTTACTTGGTTGCTGTGACCTAAAAGAGGTGAGGGGAGGGCCCTGAGAATGGGGCAGGGAGGGAGGCAGTGTTTTGCCAGAGGTCCTTTGAGGACAAGAGGTGAGGGATTTCAGCTTTAAAAAAAAAATGGGAGAATTTCTTGAAAGGGTGTGTTTGCAAACCAGAGTCATGGATTAGGGTCCCATTTCTATTGGTGTCTTCTGTCCTCCGTTATGGGTCTTAACCACCTAGGCTGGCAGCTACTGGCGTCCAAAGATCTCCTCACGCTTTGGCTAGGAGTAAGAGTGAGTGTTCCTTCAAAATAAGAAGTGGCAGATGAGAGGAATTTGCCTCTTCCTAATTTGTCCATGTTGAGAAGGACAAGTAGCTTCTCAAGGTGAGTGTAAGACATCAGTGTTTCTAGATGTATATTTACAATCAGCCCTCATTTCTCTTCAACATGTCATCTGAGGAAGAGCAGCCAAAATCTACTATGGGTATCACAACTATTGCTAGTTTATGGACTGAATACTTAATATGGTGTCATTAACTCAATCATGAAAAATTTAAAAAATAGTCTCCACCTTTAATTTCTAGTAGCACTTAAAAATTACTTGAGCTGGGGATATGGCTCAGTTGGTAGAGTGCTTACCTTGCATACACAGGGCCTTGGGTTCAATCCCCAGCACCACAAAAACAAACAAAAATTACTTGAAAACATACATTTCATGCCATGTTCAAGTTAATAACTCTGCACATAGTACCTATGTCTTTTGTACTTTGAAAGAGAAGGCTATTTTTAAGAATGTTAAACTGTCAGAGTGTAAATGTATAAAAATCTATGCAGAAATAGGAAGCACACTTCTTTGAAGAAGCTATCTACATAAAATACGATAACTTTAAAAGACATTCATTAATTTACTTTTTTTTCTTTAAGACACTGGTGTGAATGCCTACTGCTTGGGGACTGGGTCAGGACTGGGTCAAGTTCAGATCATGAACTTGAATAAGGCACAATTCTGTTCTTGAGGAGCGTACAGACTGGTCCTTTTTCAAGATGCCCCACAAAAAGTAAGCTAGCACTGATTTCTAGTGGAAAGAGGAGCGAATACTTTTTGCATTGAGAGTGACTTTTGTTGTCTTTGCGAAAGCTTCTTTCTTTTCGTAATAAGCAGCCTCGTTCACAAACACAGGGTACACGGTACAGTCTCCACCCAACAGGATAGTTTTTCCGTCAAGAGTCACAAAGGTGGGGTCCCCAGGGTGCAATGGTTTCCAGTCTTGATCCTTTTGGAAGACAGTTAAAATAATGAATTACAAAAATTTTCATGTCAAGACTCTAGATGTTTAACAAATACCATTCTGTTCTTTAAAAAGTGATCCTGGAAGGGTGTCCTGAGAGGCATGTGAGAGACCTGACTCCACTGGAACCATGTAACTGTCTTGGGCAGCAGTTTTAAGAGTTTCCCTGTTAATTCTTACAGTTGACATGTGTAATTAGAGTTTCTCTGACACCAAGTTTGCCTTGAATGTGGCCAAAGAGGTTTATAATATTAAGAGGAAAAATAAATTTCAAATCCACCTAAGTGCATATTCTACTTTTTGCCATCTGAAGTCAAATTCTGTTCAGCAAAATTTAGGAACTATTTTTTGAGAGCCTTCTGTGTGCAAGACATTCTACTGTTGGGGACATAAAAATGAGTCACATTGTATTTGCCCACAGAGAGACTTTATTCTGATGGGAGGATTGGTGAGTGGTTTGGGGAAAAGTCTAAGACGAGGTGGATGTACTGCAGGTGTGTCCCCACACTATGTTAACAACTGTGTTATCTGACAGGTCCTGCCCCAGGGATTTGGCCCTTCGATCCTTCAAGCACCAATGTTGTCATATCATAGGAAGTCTAGAACAGTTCTTCTCCAACTTGGCTGTGCTTACAAATCATTTGGGGATTTTGCTAAAATGCAGATTTTGATGCTAATGGTCAGGGTGGTGCCTTGAGATTCCGCATTTCTAATATTTTCTAGAAGCATCGGCATCACCCAGCAGTTTGTTAGAAAAGCAAAATTTTATTCCCCTCTGCAGACTTACTAAATCAAAATCTTCATGTTCACAAATTGTCAGAGATTTACATGTAGGATACTGAAGTATGCATGGCACTGCATTTCAGTGATTGTCTCAATTCTAGCCATACATTAGAATCACTTGGGATATTAATATACATTTACATGGGTACAGGGCTGGCCCCATCTCAGATATAGCAAATCAGAATCTAAAGAGTGGCTTTATTTTTAATAAATACATTTTTACTAAAGTTTTATTTGAAAAAATTAATTATAGAGTAAAAAATTCATCAATTTTTGTGTGCGGTTGTAAATTTTGATATATACATAGCATAGTCATATAACCTATAGCTATGTAATAAAAACATCTATGTTATCACCCACTTCTTCCAGTCCCTCATGCTTCTTATTTTTATAGTTCACTTTTCCCTTTTCTCCCTCTCCCTTTCTTCCTGTCTTTTCCTTCCTTCCTTTCTGTAAGTCCCCGGTGATTTTACAGGGTGGCCTGGTTGAGAATGCTGCTCTGAACAAGTGCTTTTCAGGCAGAGATATGCCCAGAATCACTGAAGGAACTTCCACGCCCATTGGTCGATCACATCTGCAGAGGTTCCCGTGTAGTGCAATGCTCCCCAGACCTGAGTCCTATGAAATCACCTGGTGCAGTCATTTGATTCCCTGTGTCCACCTTGTAAATTAAATCAGAACCTCTGAGGTTGGGACCCAGGAACCTGGGCTTTTGAAAAGCTCCTCAGCTGGTTCTTACATGGCCTGAGTTTGAGAAGCACTGCTTTAGTAGTTTGTGATGGGTTCCATGCATTGGGGGAGAAAATCCCCTAGGTAATTCTGATAAGTAACCCCATCACTCTTAAACTCTAGACAGGTGTGAGCAGTTTGCTCTAATGCATACTTTCTTCTATTACCATTAAGTGCCTCAATCAGAGGCCCAAAGCAAAGGAGTCACCCAATCAACCTTGGACTGAGACTAAATAAACCTTTTCTCCTTATAAATTAATTGCATCGGGCATTTTATTTGAGTGATGGAAAGCTAACTAATACACTTCTCTACACTGCAGTGGTTTTGTGAACATCAAATTAGCTAATATATGTAAAAATGCTGTATGAACTGTGAACTTCTACTCAAAGGTACAACATTATTAAAATATTCTCATTATTTTAAAGAAACAGCACATGTTACCTGCAGATTCGGGTGGATAATAGCAGCTATTTCTCCACTTTCATTCCTGGGATAATCAACTTTCTCCATTATTTTATAGACCTCAATAGTACAGGGAGGAAATTCTTTTCCTACAGCAAAAATAATACATATTTTAGCAATTAAAAAAACCTTTAAAAAGGGAAGTTGATACTTCAAGAAAGAAAGGAAGGAGGGAAGGAAGAAAAACAACAAAATGAAGACAGTTACAAGGAGAACACATTAAGTAACTTAAAGATGTTCATAAACAATATAAAGCCAAAAATTCTGGAATTATTCCTATCAGTGCACTGATGAACAGAGGTAGAAAACAGAACTTAAAGAAGCCAGTGTGGGAGAAAAAGAGCTTAGATCTGCCAGTCAGGACTCTGGGCTCTGTTCTGCTGGGTGTGCCATCTTTCTTTTTTCCTAGCTGTGTTATTTTGAGCAATCTTGTCAAAAGAGGGTTTTGGATTAGCTTATCTTGAAAGACTCTTCCAGCTCTGACATTCAGTGATTGCATATTCGCAGGGGGACTTTGAGCAAGTTAGGTGGATTCCGTCTAGAGGCTCTTTCTCTTAATCAAGTTCATTAAACACTTAGATGGCTCCTAAGTAGTGAAATCTTGGGATGCAGGCAGTCTACCAGCTTCCAAAGAGATGACATTGAGCTCAGCTCAATGCCCATAAATTGGAAAAGGAGTAGTTTACACAGATACCATGTGGTCTCTGAGCAAACAGGATGAACGTATGTCCAATGGTGTATCCACAGGATGTTATGGTTTCATCTTAAAGGAAAAGTCCTCCTTTGCCTTTATAGTGAAGTTGGGATGAGGAGATCCTAAGATGAATCCTATGTCAGCTAGCTTTGCTGCATAGCACACTTTCCCAGAACTTAGTGGCTTAGTGGCTTAAAGCAACAACCTTTTTTTTTTTTTTTTTAGCTTATAGTTCTGTGGGTTGGTTAGGAAGTTCCTCTAGTCTGGACTCTCTTTGCTAGTTTCTGTTTGCTTTGCTCATGAATCTGGGATGAGCTGGCAAATCAGCTTGTGGCTGGGTAATCTGGGATGGCCTCAATCTAATGTCTGGCAATTGACAGTTTGAAGGCTCGAGCTGCATGACTGGTGGCGGGGGTGTCTGAGTCTTCTATTCTATAACCTTTTCGTATCCATCAGATTAGTGTGGACTAACTCACATAATAGCCACACAGAGTTCCCAAAAGCCACAAGAGGGCAAGTCCCAATACATAGTCTTTTTCAAGCCCTTTCGTGGCACAAAAACAAGCGACTTGGGCAACCCAGATTCAAGAGATGGGGGTGACTGATGGATGCGAAAACAGAGAGCGGAGTGTCTTTGAGTTACCGTTCCACTCAGGTTTGTGGCATTCTCTCTGGAGATATCATTTCTTAGCATATTAGAGTTCCACACTTACTATCTGAGAATTTCTTGTGAATATGTTATGACCTTCCCAATACCAGTTCCATTAGAGAGTAGAGAACCTGCCCTCATACAAAGTTGGTGGACATCTAGCTCATTTTCAGTTTTCATGACTTTGGAGCCAAAGTATTCCCAAATAGAGAAGAAGTTCCTGTGATCACAGGGGGCTGCACATCTGAGGCAAAGGAATTATGTTCCCCACAGACATTGAATGACGTAGTGGCTGTGTTACCATAATTACGTGTTTGTCAACAATTTCATACTTATATGCATTCTAGCAAGTGATTATTGTTATTTTAAAGTAAATGTTTATATCATATATTTTGGTCTACAGTTTTCTTTCTTTTAAGCAATAGTGTGTTTTGAAGATTCTTCCATGTTATTATTGTTTAACTGTTCACCCACGGATGCACATTTGAGTCAGTTCCTTTGCAAAACAAAGCTATAATAACCACCCTTGAATACAAGCCATTGGGTATTCATGAGCTTGTGTTTCTTTGAAATGTGGAACTGCTGGGTTATAAGAATTGCACAATTTAATAAGGAGATACAGTAGATGCTATAAAATTACCCTTTAAAGTGTCTTTACCAATTCAAATGTTTGTCAGCAGGGAATGAGAGTATCTCCTTTTCCTATACCTTTACCAGGACTTAATATCGTCAGATGCTGTTTTGTCCAATCTGATGGGGAAAATGGTTTCTCACTCTAATTTGCGTTTTTCCCTTTTACTTGTGATGTTGAACATCTTTTCTACTTTTATTGGGCATTTGTATTTCCTACTCTGTCTTTGGTTTTTAAAATGGAGATTAATAGGAAAATAGGATTTGATTTGGGTTGTTCATATGGCCACTGTTTTTCTTGTATGTGTCTATTTTGGTGATTGAGGAATAGCGGAAGTGAATAAAAAAAATTGTAAAAGCATCTAAGATTATGAGCATGATGAATTTGACCTAAATTTCAATTACTACTTCAATGTTAAGTGGTTAAGTTTTATACACACACACACACACACACACACACACACACACACACGGTTAAAGTGTTGTACGTTGGTACATATATACATATCTGTGCAATATATATGTACTATGTAATGTATGTATAGTATTGTTATGGTTTGGATATGAGGTATCCCCCAAAAGCTCCTATGTTAATGCAGGAATAATCAGAAGTGAAATGATTTGATTGTGAGTGCTGAAATGTAATCAGTCTATTCTAGCTTGAATGGTGGTAACTATAGGCAGATGGGGAGTGGCTGGAAGAGGTTGCCCTTTCCCTCTCTCTGCTTCTCAGCTGCCATGTTCTGAGCTGCTTCCCTTTACTATGCTCTTCCGCCATGATGTCTGCCTCACCTTGGCCCAGAGCAATGGACCCAGCCAACCAGGGACTAAACCTTTGAGAACATGATCCAAAATAAAAATTTCCTTCTCTAAGTTGTCCTTGTCAGATATTTTGGACATAATAATTCAAACCTGACTGACACACAGCTAAATATGCAAATACCCACAATTAAGGAAACAACTCTTACCCACCACTTACCTTCATTAAACTGATATATAAAATCAAGAGCATGTTTAATCATTTTTCTCATTTGATCCAAAATATCAGCTCTCAGAACACCTTGGGGTTGGGGGCCAACTTCTATACCTAAGTACAGAAGGGAAGATAGTAATATTATATAAGTATTAGAATGTATTGTGAAATTAAGCATTTTATTATATCTAGAACCCCATAAATATTTAAAAGTTAGACCAGTTAGCATCATGGAAAGTATTTGAGACAGAAAGTTAGGCAAAAAATAAAGCAGAACATTTACACATTTAAATACACAGAGTGATAAATGCATAGTGAATAAAGATTGGAAGAGAACATGGAAAAAATCAGACTTGTGTTTGAGTAGTCGGAACTTAGGGTTATTTTTTCTTTAAATTTACTTTCATGTGATTCAAATGTTTAAGTATCGTAACATAGCAAAAGAAGTAGATAAACCTGCAATGACAAAGTAATAGGTGGCCACAAAGAGAGATGGTCACAGACTAACATTTAGCTCTCACAGGAGGAAAGACATCTAGTTAGTCATAGAAATATAGCTAGATGAACTATGAATTTAAGTTAACATGCAATCTGTGTGACTTTAGGGCAACATTTTTATACTTAATATTAATCCATTCTGATAAGATAGTGCAATGGTTCTTATTTTCTATAGAAAAATTTGTATTTCCTCTAACCTCAATAAAACTATGCTTGTACTACCAGGTCTATTTCCTGTAGCTGTCAAACATCCATCCTTACACCTGCAAAATACTCCTCCACCTGTTCGAGCTTCCCACAAAGTCATCCCTCCAGTTATTCTTTTCTCCATTTATCAATCTGTTTATTAAGTATATCACCCACATTCATTCTCTTACACTCAACTCAAAGATATTCTTTTTAACCCATCTTATTTTCACCTATTTCTATTATTTTCCAACTCAAAAAGTTCATTATGTTGTACTGTGTGTAACTTTCTTGTGTATATTTATTCATTTAAGTAAATGGTATCATAAATGGGGCTAAGGCATGCCTCTGTGCATAAATGATTTGTACAAATGTATGAAAATTGTGTTCATGGATATGTCTATGTGCATTTTTTGGAAGACATTGTTGTTTGACTACTCCAAATGCCTCCCATTTTCCTCCATTCTAATACAATCAAATTTTGGTTGCGTATCCAATCTTTAAGATATTAATTAACTTTTCTTCAGCTTAAGAGTAAATATCAAAAGTTTAATTCACTTATAGTAATCCAACCATCCTGATGATTTAAGAATGTACATATTATTCAGTTCTGATAAAGGGGCCATAATGAAAGATTAGTAGAGGAGTTCCTGATGTTTCCTTCCTCCATCAGATACTGTCATTAGCTGCCAACGTGTATATGACATAATAGATTTCAAATTATAAAAGAGCAAAGTTGGAAGAAGAACATATTAATATTTTCTAATTATTTAAAATGTAATTAATACTCCCTCATATTGAAATGTTTTAAAGATTTGGCTTTATTCGTAAGGGTCAAACTTATCAGAGATATTTGTTCTAGGTAAAACAGCATTGCCCATAAATATCATATTATAAGGCTAATAATATCTCAAAGTTTAGAAGTCTTACACTTTTATTTGTTACTAAATATAACCCATGATCTATTATTATTATTATTTTTATTTTTTATGGTGCCAGGGATGGAACCCTGGGTCTTTACACATGGTAGGCAAACACTGTACCACTGAGAGGCACTCAACCCTATTTCATATAGTAAGGTTTTGGTTTATTACATTTATTGCAATTCTGTGCCTATATTTGGATATTTAGCTTTCTCCTTTATAATTAATAATTAATTGATTTCCTTAATTATGTGTCAAAAGTATCAATACTTGGGTAACCAGGATAATTGTTAAGTTTTCACTTGCTTATGTTATTTGCCAACTTGCTCTTAAATTTACTCTTGGTTAAAGCATCTAAGATCTAACAAAAACCACTTAAGTTGCAATAGAAATTTTAATCATAGTATAGTTTGCAAATAGTTAATTATGTTAGTGTATCTCACAGGAAAGAGAATGAATTACTCCTAATCTGCCATTTCTCCCTCTGTGCAGTGATGACCTGGTTAATGTCTGTCTTCTCATTAGATACTAAGCTCTTTGAGGGATTCTGTGTGCCTTGTCCATTACTATTTTCCCAGAACCTAGCACAGTGGTGGGTCTCTAGTAGACACACAATAAATATCTGTTGAAAGTACACATTTTTAGAGCAATTTTGTGGAGTGGAGTTAGAGATAAGGTTCTATAAAAGGTGACTTTTCACTTAATTCTTGGGAAGGAGAAGAATCTGTCAGACTGATTTTTAGGGTCAAACATAATAGTGAAGAAAATAATATGAATAGAACCAGAAAGCTTCTCTGAGATATTGAGGAAATTAAGTATAGTGTCTGCCTGGGATTAATTTGCTTATTATCTGATAATTATAAGCCTTAAGGATGTGCAAGGTAGCTATAAATATTCTTTAATTTTTCTTGGAGTTTCAGGTAGGACACATTTTATTTAGCTATGCCAACAGACTTACCAACAGGATACTTGGCTACGGAACGTGTGGTTGCGTACTGGAGGGAAGGATGCTCAATGAGATAAACATAGCAGGGTAATGGAGCCAAAGAAGTCTGCAAAGAATTTTTAAAACATCTTCCTTATTATGTAAAGACCATATATATTTTTTTCTCTTTGCTGCTACGGAGTCAGTAAGGACTTCATATTTTTTACTTCATCAACTAAGATTAGTCAGACAGTTTTGTGAAACACTCTAAAACTCAATGTTATAGCTTTGAAAACATACAAATAAATTGCATGTAAAATTGAATCACATGCAGTTTTCTGGGTAAAATGGACATTAAACAATTCTCCAGAGCCATGACCAAAAAATAGGAAATAAACTTTCCTTCTGAATGGATTTGGTTATTTTTGTTTTCATCATTGCTTACCCTTACTATTTAGTTTATTTATTTCTTAAAGAGCTCTGTTTCTGACCCTGTAATTCAGGTTCTACAAATGTCAGGTGATTCCCCTTTCATCCTTCTATTTGAATGGAAATTTGAGTCAGGTCTCTTGGTTTTGATAACCAGAAATCAACCTTGAGGCTTCCATGTCTGGCCACAAAAGCATTCAGCTTTCTTCAAGGAGCAACACAGAACAGCTGCATAAGGATCTCCCACCACAGCCACTACCTACTTAATGTCCAGAATTCAAGGGGAACAAAAGTAATAGTGAACCCTCATCGCAGGGTAGACATTAGTCTAAATGCCTTGAATATATTTTTTTCTCATTTAAAGACTTGAGCAGTCATATGGGGGGAGTATTCTTATGCCAATTTTATAAAATGAAGAAAGCTGTTTTGAGAGTTGAACTTCTTCAAGGTTAGTGAAGGAGAAAGCCAAGATTTAAACCCAGCTTCTGGCTACCTGGGTCAAACTTTTCTTAGTGAACCATTTTAGCTCTCAGGAAGGAAGAACATCTATTATATAAAATCAAATACAAAATACATTATTTGTGTTTTTGCTTGTTTGCTATTTTCTAGAATTTTTTTCTTTAGTTAAAGGCACTGGAAGCCTGAATTTTTAATCTCACAGATTCCTGAGTGTTAAAATGATTAGCTTTATGAAGTATATGACAAAAGATTGGGTGTGTTTTGGGTAATCCCAATCAAATGGTGACAAGGGCAGGACTAAAGGGAGACAATGTCTTCACCACTGGAAATGACAATATTTTGAGCTTCCTAAAACCCTGTAAATTTGATATTTCAACCATAACATTTAAAACTTTTATATTCATTTTACTTGTTTTTTTTTGTTCAATAGCTTATGAATTGGTGGCTGTTGGAATAAAATTTATAATTTTATAGGCACAAAAATCCACAAGGTCTTATTATTTTATTCCTTGTATTTGTTATTTTACTTGTTTCTCCTTTTCTCCTGCCTGTCATCACCACCTCTGTATCTAGGTACAGCCTCTCCCATCCACCTCCCAGCCCAGCTGTGGAACAGATCCCATTTCTCTTGGACCTTCCTTCCTGACCCTGTTCTGGTTGTTTCTCACCTATAATCAACTTATATAAACTTATAAATTAATAATATTGACATTACCTTAATATAATGAAACATCTGAATTAAAAAGTCATTCCTGGAATCTTCGAGAATAAGGGTGCACCCCATGTTAGAAGTTGTGTTGTGAAGGTCAAAAATGATGTCATAGGAATCTTCACTATTTTTTGGACCAAATAAATGATTTATTTCTTGAGCCCTTTTCACTTCATATGGCAAATCCTCTGACATCTTTTTGCTATTATTAGCAGAAAGAGAAAGATTAACAATATTTGTGGCTAAGATAATATATATAGTCAATAAGAATACCATGTACAAAGAACCAGTTGCCAAACCTTTCATTTGGAAAATTTGTGGGGCAATTGAAAACATCTAAAATTTTTATAAGTGAAAATATTTTTTTCTCATTTGATTTCACACAACTAATATTTCATTGGTATTCTTGTAAAATAATGTGTTCATTTATGTGGCTAGTCACAGGTAGGGCAGTTCAAACAGAATTTACCATTTGACTTCAACCTTGAACAAAACTTTTCCTTTAATCTTATTTATAGTTTTTTTGTAGTTATAGTGCACTTGTTATTTATTATGGGGATAGATCATTAAGTGCATCTTGCCCCCAGTCTTTACTCTGGGTAATTCAAGTTTTTGAAACAGAGTCAAACTTAGATGCTCACATCATCATTAGGTATTTTTAATTGATGCCCAACGGTCATCGGTGGTCCAGGGACAAGGTTTATAGATAAGAGTCTGTAAACGCTCCCAAAATACAAAATTTTACAGGTACATGTGTATCTATTTTTTGTGAGACAGATGTTAATAGATATCATTATATTCTTAGATGGGTCTTAATATAACCTCTCACTTCCTGAAATGGTTAGGATACATTTTTGCTTGCTGTACGTGATGATGTTTTAAATTTAATTTTTTCTCATTAAATCATTCAACCACATTTTCATGTAATTCCGTCTCTTTCTATTCCCCGGCTATTTTTACTAGTATCTTCAAGGGACCTACAGTTTGTACCTGAGTGTTTCCTGTCTGGAATGCAATCAAGAAGGTGGATTAGCCATTTTGCAGTTATGAAGCAAAAACCATGAGTACAAAAAAGGTATATGTGAAGATGAGCACAGGGGGAAGAGAGAAGCAACCTGTGGCCCTGATGACATCATGAAGCCACCCCACCAGCCCTAAATGTTTTGTATAGTGTGCATATGAGTATGAATGAAGGTAAACACATCTATTCTTTAGGCTGCAGGGGGTGGTCTGATGTTTTCTGAAAATGAATACTTATTCACTCTTTGATTCAACAAATATTAATTGGAACATCATATTTTTCTTAACTAGAACTTTATGTGCTACCATAAACATAGTTGCAAAAAAAAAAAAACATTGTAGTGAATTTCCCACACAGTTAACAAATGTGTATACAAACATAGTGGCCAAACACTAACTTAATGCAAAGGATTATTAAATCTGTCTTTCAAGATATGATTTAAAAATAAAACCTTTCTCATATATGTTTGCAGCCCGCATAGGATATATTTGAAGAGAAAAATCAAATAATGTAGTACTTTAAAAAGTATTTAAAAGAGATATGAATGCCCAGTTTCCACAATTGTGTAATTCACAACGCAGTGTGATTAAAAGTGAAAGCGATCTTACTCATTATAGACACTATATGTACAAACATTAATATTTATCACACACACACGTATGCACACTATATAAAACATATTCTTACCCAAGATTTTCAAGGTCAAAAACACGATTCAGATCACAGTCGATGTATCTGGTACACTTCTTCACTGCTCTTGGGTTGGTAATAAATGGTTTTACTTCCAGCCCTGATCTCTGAATCTCAGCGTCATTCTCCAGCCAGTGCTTAACTAGAAATACTCCCGTTAGCTCGTTCCCATGAGTTCCTCCAAAGATAGCAATCTTTTTAATAGGTTCTTCAGTAATGTGACGAGAGGTCATTTTACCAATAGTTTTATCTGATTTCTGCAATTCAGAAGAGAGGAGATCAAAGGAAGCTTAAGGTCCTAAGAAAAGTTTAGAAATTTAAATTCAAATGAGAATTTAACCAAAGTGCAAAGTACAGAGTTCCCTTGAGTGGAGGACTTTAAACATCTTCTGTTACAAGTTCTGAGCCCTTTATTATTATGTGGGCACTCCCCTCTGTAGCCCTGTCCTTTACCATATTTGGATTAAAATATGCAAAGATCAACCAGAGATACAGTTGTTAACTTCTAACTCCCTCAGATGGTCAGTAGGTCTAAGTACAATAATAAATTGACATCTCCTACCAGTACAAAAAGTCCTTTTTCCCTTCAGCTAGAATGCCACCCAATAGGGCTTTCATGATCACTTGTAATAATAAAAATAGTTTGTAAAGTTCTAATCATCCAAAATAAAAAAATTAAAAAGTGGCTCATTTGATATTTGTTTCCACTGTCATTAAAAAAAAAAATTCTGAAGTAAATCCAGGTACTTTTCATGATCTGAGGGCATTGAGTTTCCTGTCTATCAACAGTCAAAGGCAGATACTTAGAGCCTCTTCTTGAGCCAGCACCTTTCTTTGGAATTGCTTTTACATGGTAAGAGACACAGGGTCCCAGTTGGTGATCACTGGGTCTTGAAAAGCTACTTTGAAACATCCCTTAGTTTCTTTCTCATGATGTTATTGGTTATCCTCTGTCAATTTCCTTAGGTATCTTGCCAATGTACCAAAGGAAAAGCAACTGTTAGTAATTTTCAAATCCCTTTAATGCACAAAAATGTCTTGGGACATACTATATATTTTAACCACATGATATGAATTTATAAAGACATGGCCTCATTTACTGACAGCAATCCTCTCCACTGGAGTGTGTTGTGTGAAAAGGGTCCTATTAGAAGAAATTACCCAGAATACTAAGATGATTACATGCCTTCGGAGAAATGACTCTGAGCCAAATCTGATTTGATTTCATGCTCAATCACCCAGAATTTCAAATATGTTCAAGTATTAAAATTCTACGTATTGATAATACCAGGCTGTTTTGTAGCAGGACAAGAATAATTCATTACAATTGCAAAGTACTTAAATTTATGATGTTCTTCCACATACATTAGTTCAATTTATTTATATATGCACTTTGTAAGATAGAACAGGGTAAGTATTGACATCCCCATTGCAGGGATAAAACAAAGAGAGGTTAAGCAACCTGAATAAGTTTCCACAGCTACGTAAGTGAAAACTAGGCCTGGGGCCCATGTTTCTGATTTAAGTCCAGTGTTTTTTCACAGGGCAACAGGGTGCCTCTTTGTTATTTTTGGTCTCCTCTGAAGTTCTACTTTTGCTCTTTCAGAATTCACATAAACAACCACTACAGTGTGCTCAGGAAACCAACGAGCTTACAAATAAAATACATGAGAGAAATATGAAATATGAATGCTTCATGATATTTAATAAACCAATTTCCATGTTTTTCCTTTAAGAGACCATAATGTAAAGATAAAGCAAAATAAGAAAATATAAATTTACAAGTTAAAATTACTGTTCTAAGACAAATCCCTGCAGCCTTTGATTTTCTGCACACATGAGTGTACACTAAACACCTCATTGCAGAGATGATGAAAACACACGTAAATGTAAAGAGATAACAACTGTAATCCTACTTTGGTTTCAAGAGCAGTAACTATGGTAAATTATTAACACTGCTATGTTTTGTTTTTCTTTCCTTGCTGATTTGTAGTTTGTTCTGTCCTTTGCCCTAGTCCCTCTGGAAATGCTACTTTAGTTTTCTCCTTTAGCTGGCACAAATGACTTGCATTTTGAGGCTTGTTTTATGGAATTTTAACAGATCAGCATTTTGAAGCACACTTCATATCCATAAAGTTTCTGTTACATTGTCCAAGTGAATAACTTATTTGAAAGTAAATGAACTGCAGTAATTCTTTCTTATACTTACCTTGTTTATTGTGTACAGTTTTGTCTTCTGTGGAAAGCTTTATTAGAAAAAGGAGAGCAATTCCTTAGAACTAGAGCAACAGAGGCTTTTCATACTCTTATACCAACTTAACTTCCAAAACATTTTTAACTCCCTGTCTCCCAAAGCACACTTGAGTTTGGATCCTTGCAAAAACTATGCAGTTGCATTAATTCTTCTTCTTCTTCTTTTTTTTTTTTTTTGAGAACTTAGAGAACTGAGAATATATATAAAGTGAAATCTTTTCTAGTTGTCACTATCTCCCTATTAAGTTAAATATTTAATGTTTTGAAGTAGATGTTTAATAACTTCCAGCACTACAAATATGTTGTGCCAACGGAGATGACTGATTTGTTAATAAAATCATGTGATTTAAAACAAAAGGAGAACAAATTTGTATTTCATGGTTATGGCTATCCAACAGATCAATGTTAGAAATTTTGTAGGAGAAAAATTTAAGGTGGGTTTGTTGCCTAATTGGTATGACTGGAGAATAAAGAGGGTTTCCTATTCAATATTATAAAGTGTCTTATACATAACGTGGCTGTCCAAGAGTCATGCCGTCAAACTACTCTCACTACCTTAGTGTTTTCTTTCTTCTCTTGCCCTGATGCTGTCACCCATTCTGATCAACTTTTCACCTGGAAATAAATGAACGATAACAGATAGAGAACAGATGAGTTTATAAACTGCTAGCAAAGGCCAAGTATGGTGGTAATACCTGTAATCCCAGGGGCTCAGGAGGCTGAGGCAGGAGAATCGTGAGTTCAAAGACAGCCTCAGCAATTTAGTGAGGTCTTAAGCAACTCAATGAAACCCTGCATAAAGTAACATACAAAAAAGGGCTGGGGATGTGGCTCAGTGGTTAAGTCCTCCTCAGTTCAATCCCTGATACCAAAAAACAAAACAAAAAAACCAAAACAGAACAAAACAACAACAACAATAACAACAAAGTGCTAGGAAAGATTCCATATGGCTCATGTCTGCATTCCTTACAGATATAGCACAGGATATTGCTCCTCCTGGACTTAATGTTGCTTTTTAAATGAGATATCTTTTTTTTTTTTCCAGGAAGTGGGTGAAATGTATGTATGTATGTCATCAGTTTCCTTGATGTTCATGTTTTGGGTAAGTCTCCTAACTGTTACTACGATGAATAACAAGTCTTTTCAGACATTTTATTCTTTGAAATCTTCTTTCCAAATTAAAAAGATGAACCTGTTCCTTCAACACTTATTCCGTACCCTGCCACTCAAGGTCTACTATTATTTGGTGTCAAGCTGACTCTAATCTTATCTCCAAACATTCTTATTTGACCCAACTTTTCAAAGAAACTAGGAATATGTTTTATGGCCTTAGATTTAATTATTAAGAACCTCCCCCCAACCCCACCTCTCAGCTCTCTCTCCCTCTTCCTTTCACCTATCCCAGCCTTTGAATAACAGGAGATATGGTTAAAAAAAAGAATATGGTCTTTGAATTCAGACCTAAAATTATTACATCTGGTCTATAGTAAGTAACCAATAAATGGCAGCCACTATTATGAAATGAGGCCTAACATTTATTGAGCACTTACTGTGCATTAGGTAGGACTGTTCATTTTCCCTTAGCATTTTTAGGGAAATTAAGTAAATTTTGATACTGGTATTTTACTGCAGAAGGAAATGTAGGTATAGAGCTGGTAAGTTATTCAAAATCACAGGTCCAAGAACCCAGTCTCCCCAGGCAGGAAGCCTGTAGCTGGAGGAGCTCGGAGGTGCTGCACCCTTCTGCTTGAATATCTCTGGCTCATGGGCTCTTTTGCTCTAGCAGCACTGGCTCTGCCTTACTGACTACTCTCTGCCTGGCATGGTTGCAACCATGCCCGGCTGTGCCCCACTCACAGGCCTCAGCTCTCCCACCAACCTCTGTTGGGACTCTCATCCCAATAGATAAATCTGACTCAGATATGCAGCCAGACCAAGCAAGACACTTACACTTTGGTTTTGTGGCTGTTGGAGTCATTCTCTTTTAGACACAGTCCAGGTTGCCACCAACATCTTGCAGACTGAAGAATCCTTCTAGTTAGGAAACCCTATATACCCAGAATTTTATTTGTTTCCCTAGCCTGTATTTTAAAATTAGCATGGTTTTATATTTTCCCAATAAATGTTCTTGTTATCCATATCTTCCTCTTCTTCCATCATAACATCTGGGCCCAGGTTAAAAGTAGGTATGTTGACTAGAAGACTGAGATTGATTCTGAGGACATCTCAGGGAGTATTCTGCTTCCTAAACGGAAGGCATTCATTTTTCTCTCCCTAGGCCTCTTCTTACTGTATTTCCCCCTATTTTATCTATTACTTCATGCATTTTATCATTAACTTCTTTTATCATTAACTCCTATCTGTAGTGTCAAGGCAGCAGGACCCCTGTGACTCCCAGGATGGTTTTGGGGAAATTTCTGGGTCTCGAGGAGTGGCAGAGGGCAGTGAGTCACTGGGAAGTCCCTGTCAATCAATAGTGTTCAGACAGTCAGAAAGCTGTTCTGATGTCCCTGGGAACCAGATTGGTTCTAGCATGTTATTCTAAAATATCCTGGCATGGTGGCTCCTTCTAGCAAGTTGGCTGGCATAAGGGAAACATGGAGGGTGAGGGTCGGGGCTGGGAATGTCACTTTACCACCATAAGTCTGGCTGTCTTCATTTATAAATTGAGGGAGATGTTATTACAAGACCTCACAGGGTTGTTCCAGAATGAGATGAAGCAAGCACTTGATAAGTACTATGGCTGGTGGGGGTGCTATGTTCCTGAGGATCTTCCCCCCCAACACGTCATCCAAGGCATATCTAAGAGAGGGACTTGGAGTCAACTCTCATGGAGCACTGAAGCCATTTCACCCAAAGTTAAAGTGTTCACCAGATCTTGATTTAACCAAGTCCTCTCCATCCACCTCACTGTGCTCTCTGAATTTCCTCTGCGAGTGTCACTAAAATTCTCCTACAGGTCAACCTCTTTGAGGGTGGTTGGACTTATCCTTCTTGCTGACTCTTCCTAGGTTGCCAGTTCACCTCCCAGGGCCAACATCATCTTTCTCACTCATCCACAGTTTCCCTCAAAGGTTTTTCCCTTCCTTCTTTTACTACCGCCCTGTGTGACTTTCATTGTTCACATTTTGAGAAGCTTATGAGTGTTTAGTCTTAGA